AAAAGAAAGAAAAAAAAAAAAAGGTGGAGACTGGCCCAGTTTTACTGCCTACCATTTTGTTGTTTTTTAATTCTCACTGGCTGGCCTCCACCCACTGCACTCCTCCCCCTGTGCACAGCCACTCCTCTCCCAGGGAGGGGCCAGCAGGCCACTCTTGCTGGAGGTTTGTTGGTTTTTGTTGTGTTGAGACAGAGTTTCACTGTGTAGCTCTGTGTAGCTTGGTATGTACTAAGTAGATCAGGCTGGCCATGAACTGCCTGCTTCTGCTTCCCAAGGCTGGGACTAAGTATGTGCCCCAAAGCCCAGATCCTGCTGGAGTTTAAAGGATTTACTGAGTCCATCTTTGCTCAGGAGGATGTCCTGTGTGAGTAGATCCTGGTTCCTGAGTCTCAGAGAGACACAAGACATTCCTCCTCCCTGTAGCAGTTGAGGGGATAGGAGCAGTTGAGGACAATATTTGCTAAGTGTCCAACGCAGTGGGCCAGGAGCTGTGCTGGAACCATTATGCGTATTTCTGTATGCACATTTGCCAGAATTGTAGGGGAGACAGGTGAGCTCAGCATGCTTGCTACTCAGTAGCCTAGTTACTGAGTCAGGGTCCTACTCAACTAAGTGAGATTCATAACCAGGGTTGCCAGCTGGACTGGAGCTACAAAAGAGGCCACCTGGGAACCATATTCAAAAGCCAGTGGGGACTCTTTAGGTGTCCCTTCACAGACTGAGGAACTCATCACTTTTCTACCAGGAACAGCTGCTAAGAGGAAAAGAAAAAGCTAGTTAGCAACAATCACAGTCTGCATTAACCTTATCCCCTCTCTGCTCTTCAAAAAAGAAGCTTCAAAGCCAACAGTGGTGGCCCATGCCCTTAATCCCAGTGCTGGGAAGGCAGAGGCAGGTGAATCTCTGTGAGTTTGAGGCCAGGTCTACAGAGTGTTTCAGGACAATCAAGGCTACAGAGAGAAACCCTGTCTTAAAAAAACCAAACAGGCAAACAAAAAAGAACCTTCAGTTCACTCTCAAGTTCTCAGGGACAAAAAGAACCCTCACACATTTTTTTTTAAGTACTAATTAATGACTCATGTGCAGAATAAGCAGCAATAGAAGGCAGCATGTGTTAAAAATAGAGCTTGGAAATACCCTGCTTGAAACAGTTTGTGGAAGCGATCCCTTTGTCCCCAATACACCCCACAAAATGACGAGGCATAACCTGCAGGTGTAGTAAAGTCAGAAATGGGCCCAGTGCTGGATACTTTTGAGTCTCCAAAGCCCAGCACCACTGACTGTGCAGCCTTGATCCTGCAGCAGCTTATGGTGAAGGGTCTCCCTCTGCAAATCTCAGTCTCACATTTCTACTTGTTATGGAGGTGGGGGTTTTTTTGGGGGGAGGTTCCCAGCTAGGAAAAAAAAATCTGAGTATTCTGAAAAAGCAAAAGGAAGAAAATTTAAGTGGGGGAAGCACTCAAGACTCTTCATACACTCCCCAGTAGCATCACCAAAATTATGCCTTATTGCTAAGGAAACCAATCCAGACAGATGTTAGTACCGACTTGAGGATGGGACCAATTTCCTTATCAATAGAAGCAGCAATCCTTTTTTTTTTTTTCAAGACAGGGCTTCTCTGTGAACAGTCTTGGTTGTCCTGAAACTGACTATGTAGACCAGGCTGGCCTAGAACCCAGAGATCTGCTTGCCTCTGCCTCCCAAGTACTGGGATTAAAGGAGTGTGCCACCGCCTGGCAGAAGCAGCAATTTAAACATGTTTCCACACATCCCATAAATGAAGGGATAGGATCAAGGAAGGACAAGTACACACATACACTGGCTATTTTCTACCCTTTGGATTGGGCCTAGGCCATCTTTCCAGCTCAGCAACAAAGCACATCCTATGGGGGAAGGGGGTTGGTCACCTGTTTGCAGACATCTCCTTAGCTGTCACTCCTGCCCCAAGGAAGGAAGGGAAAGTGGTGAGACTAAATGTATACAGTAGCACCCAAGACTTCCTGTTTCACAAGGACTAACTTTACCCTGGTCAATGAGCTGACAGACATGAAGGCCAGGACAGAGTATCTGCTCCCTTGAATGACCCTTATGCTGTTTTGTAACTTTGCCCCAAATCCCTATCTTCTAGGAGCTTTGCCTGACAAAGGAGACTTGATGCATGACCCAGCCATGGATGAGGAGCTGGAAAGGCTGTAAGTGTCAAATGGGAAGATGCTGCCCTCTTGTGGAAGCCAAATCTGTTAGCGGTGACTGTAGGTGACAGCACTTATTTTTAACACCCCATATTGGTCAGAGAAAGGCTTGGGCCCAGCAGAAAACATAGGTACCATAAGTCCTTGGGGGTCTGCTCAAGTGCAAGAGTAAGTGTGGAGGTCCTAGTCTCTGAACAGGAGACTCATCACATCATCCTCTGGGCTTCTTTCCTTCTTCAGGCTGGTCCAGGTCCCAGGCCTGGTCAACTCCATCATTGCCACTTCTGAGGCCAGCTGCCTGCCCTCCCGAACCCCTCCCCGGGTTGGTTCCCCATGGAAACCCCTCCATCGCTCCCGCAAATTGGATGCAGAGAGCGATGGCTCCACTGAAGAGACAGACGAGTCTGAGACTTGAATCTGAAGGGTCCCATCTGTGGCCTGTACCTTGCTCCTACCCACCCTGCTTTTGCTGCCCTCACCAGACTTCTCCAGCATCACTGTGCCGCCCTCTGCTGGAGAGATGGGTGAATAACAGCCCTCCAGCCAATTGAGTGATCCCAGAAATCTCGTAACTCATGCTCTCGGCTTTTGACAACCTGTTGGGTCCTAAGCTGAATATTTATACCAAGGCCATTTCATCTCTGGGAGGGCATTGGCTTCAGCCTTTTGTTGGCAGTGCTGCTTATGCTTTAAGTACGGTGTCTTCTCAGCCAGCCATGATCCTCCTCGTGAGGGTCATTTTCCACAACAGCTCCCATAGAGGAACATGAATTAGTAATGCAGGGTCTTCATGGTCAAGGGTGACTCCTGAGAGCACGTGCTGGGAAGACTATCAACTGTGGCCTTCTGCTGGAGAAATCAGCCACTAGCTGGAATAAGAGGGAGGATGGGCAAGAATTTCACTTTCAAAATCGGCTTCAAGTTTGTAATAGTCAAATCTGTGAAATGAATAAAGTCCCTTGTCTCTGGTAAGCAATGAGTCTAAAGCCAGTAGGCTAAGGGGAGGTAAAGGGCAAGTGTGACTTGGGTGCTTTTCTGACTGCATGGGAGGTGGAGCCAGGGTACCATTCCAGCATGGAGACCTGCCTTAGCTGACAGAGGACCTGGCCTTCTGCAGTTGAAGGCAGCCATTCAGAGGCGGGCACAACGGAAATAGCCTTCAGCAACATCTAAGGGTGTTGTCAGGCTCTCATCACCTGTGAGACCCTGGTCACAAGAACTAGAGCTGCACAGCCATTGCACCAGGGTTTCATTAACCATTTGTGAAGACCTGCGGCTGGGTCAGGGCAGCAGTGCAGATATGCACAAAGCAGGCTTAAGGTTTTGGAGCAGAGGCTGGAACAGTGAAGAGGTGATCTTCATCTTTCTTGAATGAAGTAGATCCTCTGCTGCCTGGCCCAAGTAAGGCCACCACTTACTGGACACATAATTTCCCTCCATTCCTCCCTATTAAGACCTGCCAGTGGATGATTACAAGTGGCTTCCAAAAAGCCCTGTGGTACCAAGCTTACCTATAGGCATCTGAATGAGGCCCTGAAAGGTTTCTCAAACTCTGGTGTGTACCAGAACCACAGGTGATAGTGCCAATTACCAAGCTGGAGTCCTACTGTACCAACTTGGGGTTGGAAACAGAAATCTGTTATTTCACAAACACCCCAGATGATTCCAAAGCACTGGAAATTACTGAGAACTCTATGATTCCCTTTACCTGTCCTTTCTAACCCTCCAATTCCGAGTGGTTTATAACTGTACAGTGTTGAGGAGTCCCAAGGACAAAGTGGCCCTATAAGGAAAGTGGTTTACATACAGCATCTAACTCTTCCAAAGTCTGAATCTTTAAAATGCTTTTTCAGGCCAGGCATTTTAGTGCATGCCTGTCATTCCAGTGCCAGGGCCAAGACAGGAGGATTACAAGGCCAGTCTGGCTATGGAGACACTGTCTAAAACAAAACAAAAACAGCTCCGTTTTGAGAAACAGGTCCCAGTCTGCCTCCTGCGATGAGGTGCAGACAAACTAAAGGGCCAACTAACACCACCTCTTTCCTCCACGTGCAACAGGGTGGTGAGGTCGAGGCTGTACCGGACCCCGCGGCAGCACAGGGGCAAGGAGCCAGGGGCCTTTGGCTTTCAGAGAAGAGACAAGCTGGAGGCCCTGGAGAGAGTGCCCTCAGCTTTGGCACCGACGCCCAATCCATATCGGTGGGAGCCCAGAGAGTGAGCGAAGGGCCACTGGGCAGGGAGGCAGGATGGAGAGGACACTGACCCACAGGGCCCCGTGGGGGCTTTATTTCGACACCACTTTGTTTCAATACAAACAGTGCTGAAAGAAAGTCATGTCCCTCTGGGGAGGGATGAGGGAAGAGTGGTCTGTGTTGTTTGGGAGCCCAACCTGCAATCCACAGGTAGGGTTGGGCTCAGACTGCCAGCATGGCAGGGGGAGATGGCACCAAGGATGACACAGTGCGTGGCCCAGCTGCCAGAGTATGGGGCCTGCAGCTGCAAGTCCTCAAGCTCTCACTGACTGGTGGGGTGCTGTCCAGGACCCCTAAACCCAGAATGATGCAAAGAATGAAAGCTGAGCTCCAGGGGCTTCTTTCTTTCAGAGCCTCAGTTTCCTCAGCCAGTAGCAGGTTCACAGCATCCAGGTAGGACCACTGATGAGACCCACCATGGGTGCCAAGCAGGACACAAAAGGATAGAATCTCAAGCATAGACAGAGGGTGCTATGACCCACAATAGTGGCAGATAAAGGCTCTCAGACACCTAGGCAGAAGTCAGCCTCCGAGGGACAGTAGTGACAAAGAAGATTGCTCAGGCCCCCAGGCTGATCCCAAATAAACCCTTTAGGTGCCAAGCAAAAGTTCTAGCCCTTAGTGAATTACCAGGGTCTTTCTCCTAAGCCATCCTCCCCTGGAACCCATAAGAGGCCACTGACAGTAAAAGCAGTGGCAAGTCCAGAACTTCTCCCTGAGGGCTGATACAGCACGACTCTTGCTAGGCCTCCCGTATCTCTAGAAGACGAGGAGGCCCAGACAGACCTCCAAGCCACCTACATGGATCCTAAAGCCTGCAAAAGACTCATGCCTTCCCTACTTCGGGAAGAACTAGACCCATAAAGTCATCCTGATGGAACTCCTCCCCTCATTCCCAGTGCAACAGGCTAAGTAGCAGCAGCTTTGGGGCAGGACTGGAAGGAAGAACACTAGCATGGAGAGGAGAGTGTGAAGGGGTGAGGACAAGGACTCAATGCGCAGGCAAAGGACAAGGGCTGATGCTGACCATTCCCCTTGCCAAGGTCCTCCAAAGCCACCCAACTCACACACCACACACAGAAGTCAACAAATCCCCAGATCCACATCCCTGGCCTGGGAACCAGGGTTCTTGCTGCCACCACAGGCCTGAGCCGTGGAGCCTGGATCAGTAGGAACCGTAGCGATCCTGAGTGGGGAGAATAAAAACACAAAGTCAGAGTCTCTCTCTAATCTGCAGCAGCTCCCCAGTAACCACAACACCTCCCCTGCACACCCTATAGCACATTAGGGCAAGCTGCTGTACAGGGCTGGGGACCCCATGTTGAGAGTATGTGATGGAAGCTGAAGTGGAAGCCACCTAGGTACTAATGGAAAAGGAAGTCCACCAGATTTCACAGAACCTGGGAGAGAAGAGGAAGAGGAGCAGAAGTAACAAGCTAGGCCAAGTCACCTTAGGGAAAGGCTCAGCCCAAATACAGGGATGGAAAACTGCCCTGCCAAGAATAACAAGCACTCTCTCTACAGCTGCTGGTGGCTCCTCAGCAGTGTCTGGATTCAGCAGAAAGCAAACTTCCAAGCATTACTTTTTACATTTCTTCCCAGGCCAAGCAGCCCAGCCTCACCTGTAAAGAATTCATCACACCATTAGCCAACACTGCCATCTTGCCGGCCACAGACTTGACACCCTGCTTAAATTGGGCAATGTCAGCTGTAGGAAGTACATTCCCCAGAGATACAGTTCCTGTAAAAGCAAGGGAAGTGGTGATCAAGAGCCCTGCAAGAAACCCTTCCCAGCTATAGGGCCTTCAGCTATGCTCACAAGCCTCACGGTGCCCTACCTCCTCCATGAGCTCCATCCATGTCCCCAAAGAGGTCTGAAGAGCTGATGGCACTGCTGCCCGCGAGCTGCTGTAACCGAGACCTGGCTTCATACTGTGTTAGAGAAAAGGCAAGGTCTAGGGAATCTTTTGGCCAATGATAAAAGAACTGACTTATGCCAAACCACCCTAATGCTAAGCCCAAGGACAAGTAGGGAAGAAGCTCAGAAGCTCAGGCTGTGGCCTGTTGCTACCAAGTAGATAACTTCACTAACCTCAGAATCCACCTCTCGACCAAAGAACATGTCAGATGAGATGGCTTTGGCTCCTGCAAACTTCTGACGAGCTTCACTGGACTCAAGACCTGAGTTCCGGCTCTCCACTTCCCTCCGGCTGGTGGTTCTGTGGGCCAATGCAGAACATCTCTATCCCTTTCCATTATCACCATGGGAAGCAGAGCACAGAGACCAAAAAAGCACCCATAGCTTTCTGGCCTGTTCTGTGACTCTGGGATTAAAGAACCTTTCTCCTAGTGAGTACCCTCCAAAGATTAGTAAGAGGTCCTCTCTATTTTCTTCACTGAAGCCAAGGAACAAAGAGCCTCAGTTCCCTCCATAAGATGGAGTGGGAACACCGTTTGGAGGGCTTACTTACTACTGTGGCTCAATAAGGTGCAGAAGATGCCATCACCACGGCTGCAATCCTAGTCCTATTCAGAATCTGAAGTGACAGTCTGTGTACCTGGCTTATATCCACTCTCCTGCCATAATTATTCAGTGCTGTGATCACTCTCTCAGAGTCATGCTAATGTGGATAAAAGGGTCATGCCACTCCACTGACAATGTACAGGCTCTAGGCTGGGGGTTTTACAACCCAATGAAGTTATTACTGATGTCCTATTTCACAAATGGATTATCTATAGTAACTTGCCAACAAAACATTGTTTCTGAACAATAGGATTTTTTGTTTGTTTTGTTTTTTAATAAGGGCCTAGAGAGATGGCTCAGTGATTGAGAGCACTGTCTGCTCTTCCAGAAGACTCAGGTTCAATTCCCAGCATCCATCCACGTGGCAGTTCAAATCTGTCTGTAACTCCAGTTCCAGGGCTTCTGACACTCTCACACAGAAGTACATGGAGTCAAAATACAATGAAAATAAAATAAAAATAAATTTAAAAAGAGGGGGGGCTTAGCAGATGGAAAACATGGGTTTGATCCCTAATAGTGCAGTCAATCAAAACATGAAGGCTAGAGGCATACAGCCTTTGGAAGGGACATCAGAACTGAAACAGACAATCAGGCCCCTTCCACCATAAAGTAGATCCCAAGCTAAAAGAACCCCCAGGCTGGTTGTGCTAAACACAGTCCTATCTAATGAATGATCACTAGCTCTATGTGGTTATTTATATTTGCTAACCTTACATTTAAAAAAAAAAAAACATGAGAAATTCAGTTTCTCAGCTGCACTAACTACTCATCATTTCCATCCCTGCACCAAATTTTGTAGAAAGCACTGCCCTGCCCACACTACCTTTCTGAAATAGGCCGGATGCTGGAGATGGTTACTTCGGGTTCCTTCTCTTCTACCCTGTCCATACCCCAGGCTGCATCTGAATCCCAGCGGGAACCAAAAGTTTCTCCCAAGGAAAAGGGGTTGTCCTTGTACCTAGGAAGACAGCAGAGTAACTCAGAGAAACCTGAGTAGGAATACAAAAGGCAAATCTATGCCCCAGCAATAGTCTTACTTTGGGGGTCCAGAGGCGAAAGTTCCAACATCATCAAACAAGTCAAGCTGTGAACGGGAAGATTTTGCACTCAACGGGGTTTCTTGCTCAATCACCTGCATCTCAGACAGCACGGAGTGGGAGATGGAGCTGTAGAGAAAGCACAGCAGGCCAAAGGCTGGTAATGAGAATCAACTGTTTACTGCCCAAGAGCAGCAACCAGGCTGATGGGTCTGTTTCCCCAACAGTCTAGACCCTTGCCTGTACAACTGCACGGGGCCAGTCCAGACAGAGACCTGCTGTGACCTGTTTGTAATGTCCTGGGAGCATACTCAGAAATGTTAACATACTGGCTTCATTCTCTCCAACAGCTTTCCCTTGGCTATTGGTTGCCATCTTAATAATGCACACCAAATGATGAGTGTTTACTCTCCATTCTTTCCTTTTTGGTTTTGGTTTGTTTTTCCTAAGGAGACTGGCTGTGTGACCCAGATGTTCCTCCCTCAACCTTTCCAGTGTTGGAATTACAGGCATGAGCCCCACCATGCCCAACTCCATCTCCAGCCTTACACAAAGCCTTATTATAAGTATCACAGACTGTATCCTTCCTGAGACAGACATACACAACGCAAAGCAGAAGATGAAAAACACCCAGTTGATCCTCATGGAATCACAGCAAGTCCTTCCTTAATCACTCTCTCTCTTAAAAAAGAAAAGGGATGAAGAGAAAAAAAAGGAGAAAGGAGGAAGGGCATTTCCTAGTATAGGGTCTAGCCCAGGCACCAAGACCTGGATCTGCCAATGCTCCCTAGAGTGGGCAGGCAGAACAGCTCAACGCCTCATTCCTGTCAAGATCCATTTCATTCAGACAAACTCACCAAAATACATAGCTTCCAAATTGAAGAGCTTCAAAGACTGATTTTTTGTTTTGTTTTGGTTTCTTTGAGACAGGGTTTCTTTGTATAACCCTAGCCATCCTGGAACTCACTCAGTAGACTAGGCTGGCTTCAAACTCACAGAGCTCCGCCTGCCTCTGCCTCCCAAGCGCTGGGATTAAAGGCATGTGCTGCCACCATCGCCCAGCCAAAGAGTGAATATTTTGCAACTGGATTTTAAATAGGGTAGATTAGATTTAAGTAGGAGATTCTGCTATACTGAAGGTAAAAAAAAAAAAAAAAAAAAAAGGAAGGAGGGAAGGAAGAAAGAAACAGAAAGAGAAAATAACAGGCTAGAGGAGTAAAGGCTCGGAGGTTAAGAGCACTGGCTTCTTTCCCTGGAGACTATTTATTTATTCCTAGCACTCACATGGCAATTCATAACCATCTCTAACTCGAGTCCCAGGTAATCCAATGCTCTCTGTGTTCATGTGGTACACAGACATACACTCATGCAAAGTACCCATAAACATAATAAAGTAAAAAAGAAAACACATCCAGGTGTGGTGACATGTGATTGTAATCTCAACACTCAAGAGGGTAAGGCAGTAAGAGCAGGAATTCAAGGTTATCCTTGGCTATGTAGCTACCTTAAGGCCAGCCTGAGCTACATAAGACTGTCCAAAGAAAACAAAAACAAACAAAAAAAACAGTCTGTCTTAGGCCAGCCAGTACTACATAGTGAAACCTTGTCTCAAACTAACAACAAAGCAATCAAAAAAACAGGGCTCACTCCCTAGGGTATAGTAGAAGAGAACTGACTCCAACAAGTTGTTCTCTGATCTTCACAGGTGTGCAATAGTACATGCAAGTCCTATATATACATACAAATAAAGTTAATAAAAATTAATTTAAAAGATTTTGTCAATGCTGGTAAGATTACTCAGAGTAAAAGCATTTGCCACTAAGTCCGATGGCCTGAGTTTAAGCCCTGGAACCCACACAGTGAAAGAAGACCCACTCACACAAGTTCACAAGTTATCCCCAACTTTCACCACACACACTGCAGCTTTGAGGAAGCTGCTTAGTATCTCAATTTCCTCATCTGTACCTATGACTATTGTGTCTAATAAATTCCTCATAACAATAAACCCATGCCTCCTAACAAATGAAGCCAAGGAATGGTCTAGTCAATGGCACCAGCAAATATTCTTTTTTTTTATTTTAAAGATTTATTTATCATGTATACGGTGTTCTGCCTGCATGTGTCCCTGCAGGCCAGAAGAGGGCACCAGACTGCATTACAGATGGTTGGGAGCCACCATGTGCTTGCTGGGAATTGAACTCAGAACCTCTGGAAGAGCAGTCAGTACTCTTAACCTCTAAGCCATCTCTCCAGCACCCCTCCCCCACCTTTTTTGTTTGCAAATATTCTTTATTATTATTCTTTTCTTCTTTCTCTTTTTAAAACAGGCTCCCAGAGACCAATCTGACTTTGAATTCCTATGTAGCCAAGGATCACCCTAAATTCCTGATCCCACTGCTTCCATCTCCTGAGTTCTAGGATTGCTGGTGTATGCCATCATGCCAGAAGATACATTTTGAGCCCCAAGTAGCCTTAAACTTGCTATACAGTCAAGAACGGCCTTAAACCTTTGACCTTCCTGCCTCAAATGCTGGGATTATAGATTTATACCAACGCATCAGTTTTATGTAGTACTGGGTTTTGAACTCAGGGCTTTATGTATGCAAGACAAGCATGCTACCAACTGAGCTACATCCCCAGCCCCCAGATACTCTAATTTTAAAAGATAAAAATCTAGGACTGGAGAGATGGCTCAGAGGTTAAGAGCACTGCCTGCTCTTTCAGAGGTTCTGAGTTTAATTTCCAACATGATGGCTCAAAACCATCTATAATGAGACCTGGTGCCCTTTTCTGGCCTGCAGGCATACATGCCTGCAGAACACTATATACACAATAATTAAACTAATCTTTTTTTTTGGGGGGGGGGGTTCGAGACAGGGTTTCTCCTCTGTGGCTTTGGAGGTTGTCCCAGAGCTAGCTCTTGTAGACCAGGCTGGCCTCAAACTCACAGAGAACAGAGATCCGCCTCCCTCTGCCCCGAGCGCTGGGATCAAAGGCATGCACCACCACCACCCGGCTAAATAAATCTTAAATTAAAAAAAAAAAAAAAGATAAAATCTAGCTGGGCGGTGGTGGCACAAGCCTTTGATCCCAGCTTGGGAGGCAGAGGCAGGGGGATCTCTGAGTTCGAAGCCAGCCTGATCTACAGAGCAAGTTCCAGGAAAGTCAAGGCCACATAGAGAAACCCAGTCTGGAAGAACCAATAAACAAACAAACAAAAATCTTTTAATATCTTTAATTTCAGCAATTGGGAGGTAGAGGGGAAGAGATTTCTGTGAGTTTGAGGCCAGCCAGGACTACATAGTAAGACCATCTCAAAACAACAAAAAATAAAAACAGTATTACTGAAACTTCAAAATGCTTCAGAGAGCTGATTTGCTTTTTTAAAGCAAAGCACAGGAACTCAAACCTAGTAGTTCTGAAACACTTAATCCCAGCACTCAGGAGTCAGAGGAAGGCAGACCTCCAAGAGTTTAAGGCCAGCCTGGTGTATAGAGTGAGTTCCAGGCCAACCAGCTCTACAGAGAGAAACCATGTCTCGAAAAACAAAAACCAAACCAAAACAAACCAAAACAAAAAAGGACTTCCCCAACCCAGAGGCATTTGAAATGTGTGGGGTCATTTGAGTATTTAGAGTATCTGGTACAACAAATAGCATTTAGTGGGCAAAGACTAAAGAAGCAAAAAGTGTTCGAGGCCAGCCTGGTCTCCAGAGCGAGTGCCAGGATAGGCTCCAAAGCTACACAGAGAAACCCTGTCTCAAAAAAAAAAAAAAAAGAAAAAAGTTCTCAGGTGTTGGAAAAAAAGAACTGTCCAGCCATGAAGCAGCCTCATCAGAAAGTGCCATCCTAGCATGGAGTGAAACAGCACCTGCTCCTGCTCACACAAACAACTAACATGTATGGATAGCCAGCCACTGTGCTAGGTGCCTTAAGATAACAAGACTAAGCAAGGAACACTGACTTGCTGGGTAGGGCCTGTCCTGGCTCCCAGGGACAGAAAGGCATTTCTCTGACACACCAGGGCCTGAACCTCACCTTCGGGACACCAAGCCCATGCCCAGCCTTTCAGCCTGCTCTCGTTTCTTTCCTTCAAGGTTCTGTAATTTTTTTTCTTCCTTCTTGCGATCAATCTGGAGCTCCTGGTAGGCCAGACGCATAGAGGCAACCCTGGAGAAAATGAACAATCAGAGGCTGCCACCCATGCCACCTG